CCTTTTTTTTTTTTTTTTTTTTTTTTTTTGTTTTCTTCTCAGTTTCGTCGCGATTTTGTTACGGATTTGAGGAATGGAGAGCGACATCGAAGAATCAATCAAGAAGAAAGTGAGAAGGAATCCACACGCTGGCGAATCTTCTCGCAAGGTATGTTTACGGCATCTGTGTTTATTATTTTGTTCATTTGATAATGAGACGACTCCGAAACTACGTCTATGAAGTAGACATTGAGAGATTAGGTTTTTGGATGGAATCTGGCGTTGCGAGAGTCTGATTCTTGTTGATGCTGATTTCTTCATGAGGCGGTAGGAATTAGGATTGGATGTACAGTAAGTGGTGTTGTGATTTATATGAGTTGGATACGGTTTGATGGTAAATATAGGATAATTCTCTATGCTTATAAATTATTAAATGATTTCGTCGTTTTAGCTTTAGGATCAGGCTGCGATTTTCCAGGGGACGACAGTAATAAGTAATCTGCGAAAGTGTAGTCATCTTGCTTATAGGAGTTAATTAGCTATGGTTTCTCAGCTTGTTGTTAATTATTATCTTCAATTTCATGCTCGGCAATGTCCTTTTTGGCTCACTTTTTCTATGCTGTAGTTTGAAAAGGTTGAGCGGCAATAAATCGAAAGCATTTAAGATGTATATACATTAGTGGCTAAAACTCTAAGTCCATTTTTCACGAGAATAACCTATAGTTGAACAATTAAAATTACCTTAAGGCATCATGAAAAACCACTAATTGAAACACGGTTAAAGGAATTCAAACTAACTACACTTAGTTTGCAGTGCTGTTTGTAGAGTTGTGGTTATTTGATCAGACAGTTGCAAATATTCTTCAGAATTAAAAAATGAAATGAGATACTAAGTCTTTAGGACTGGAACTGAAGCTTTTCTCTTAGAACTACCCTCCTGTTGTTGTAAATGTAAGTAGAGATCCGTGCAGTCATTTTCACGTCTCAGGATCTTCAGAAGTGCCATTTAGAGCTCCATTTTTCTTGGTACTAATTTATTGTTTAGGTACAATGCATATTGTTACATAATTGTTTTCTGGCTAATGAGAGCAAATGTGGCTATTTCTAGTGAATTAGTTATGCCGACATTAGAGCTAAGGACCACTAATATATTAGTTTGGGTAATATATATGTGTTTAACATATGTCTGACTGTCCAATATTTGTTGGACATGTATTGGATTTTTGTTAACCCAAAACACTAGGTGCAAAGCTTTAATATGATAATACTTGTTTGACATGTACTAAACACTTATTAAGTCTAATAAGTAGACATATTTAGTCTTATAGCGATTTAGGACAACAATGATAAAATTTGAAGGCGTAATACATTAAACCCATTTTTTAAGCATATAGTGCATAAACTTATTGTCTTAGAATTTCCTTCTAGTATGAAAATGAATTATATTTAAAGAAAAATATTTAGCATCATTGCCATGTCCATGTCTTGGTGTCATGTTGTGTATGAGAATATCTATGCTTCTTTGCATTAGAGATTAGTGGATCAATATTAAGAATACTAGTGCCATGCATCTTCCTTTTATTATTTTATTTGTAATTAGGTGTTCAATTGTAGATGACAAGTGCTGAACTTACATGGAAGGAAAAACTGAAGAAAATTTGGTGTAGTTGAGGAATTATTTTATGATGAGCATTTTTGTTGTTTATAGTCTTTTTTTTTTTTTTGGTTTTTAGGGGATTTCTGTAAGTCCACCGGTAATAAGATTAAAGGCCTTGTGGAAGAAGGCCGCCATGCTTGTTCATTCAATCTTATGCCACAAAAATTGGGTTATGAGGGGAAGCACCCTAACCATTTAGAAGGGGGAGCAATATGCAACGTCAACAATTTTGCTGCTTTAAGCTTGTTCTTTTTCTTCGCTCTTGTTCTTGTTACTTTTTGTCAAGAGTTGAGACTAATCCATATCTGATGAGTGCACATTAGTATTGTCTTAGAGTTGTTGAGGCAACATGCACTTTGTTCTTTTTTATTCTTTTCTTACATCTATGTGTACGTGAAGCCCTTGGCTAACTTGAATTGCACATAATGAAGGTTGTTGGCCAATATCTATATTGTGATCCGTTCATAACTCGTTGTTTGCTGTGTTGTTTAGTTGTATTATGAAAATGTTTGTCCTACTAAATATGTTTTAAATTTATATACATTGGGGCCGTTCTTTTTATTTATGTCATCTATATATAGTTATTTTGTAATTCTTGATTGTCTTATTATTATTTTTATTTTTTTATGTAGGGTGCAAGTTCATTCTTCTTTTTACGATATTTGGTTCTGAGTTTTGTTTATCTTCTCTGCACCTTCTCATTTTTTTGACAGGGTAAAATTTTGGTCATGGGTTGAATATTCCCTTGAATTATTTTAATGTCTCTTTCTCTGTGACAGAGTGGTCAGCAAGATGAAGATATTAGATTGGAGACTACACGAGCAAGATGTACTTTATTTTCTCCTGTTCTTTTCAAATTTTTATTTACATAATTTTATTGTTTAATTAAGTAGCGAAGTTTCTAGTTTCTACACCTTGGTGCTACACTTATTAGTAGCTCTTTTGCAGTTTCAAATGTCCTCAAAAGGCACAGTGAATTGACAGAGCGTCTCTCCAGGTGGGCTATCTTCGAAGTAGTTATGGTTGCCTCAGCTTAATTGTGAATAGTTGAACATTGTGGGGGTTTATTTATTTATGATTATTTATTTTTAGAATTATTGAAATTTGCATGGAAATAACATAGCTAGACTTTGATATCTTCTTCCTTTTAGTAAAAGTTTAGTGATGCTCCTTGGATTCTTTTCATGCCATCCCTCAACTTATGATATATTTATTGACTTGTAAATTGATGCATATGCTGCTTTTTGTGCTCCCTATTCAAATTCTTCTTGCAAATATCCATTGTTTTTTATTATCAAAAGTGTTTTTCCCTGTGAGTTTTCTTGTTCTTCCGTTTATGGTGGAGTCCCTTCTTTTTGTGGGTCTCCCTTTATTCCTTGTTCTTTCACTTTTTGTAATTTGGTTTCCATTAAAAGAAGAATCAAATGACTTATAAATAGGCTTAGTATGGAAATATATATACATATGGAAAAATTAACGATTGTTGGCGTTTTTTGTTTCCTAAGAATCCTGGTTTTGGAGAAAATAATAGATGCACGTGACTCATAAAATAAGATTTTTCTGCTAAAATTTGCAGCTTATGTACGTGCTATCTAGAACTCCTAGTATGTTGCTATTTCATGCATGCATGCTTATAACTATGTTAGTTGATATCTGTGAGACTGGTTGTACTGGGGTTTGGGTATGTGAAAAGAAATGTGGGTTGTGGATAGGCCGATGAGATCAATATGTTTATCTGTGTATATTAGCTAGAGATCAACATGTCTATGAAGTCAGCCATATTATTTTTACTAAGATTTATTTCACTCATATGGGTTATTATTCGTGCTTTACACCATATTAGTGATTTCTAAAATATTAATAATAAATACTTCACAATAGGGACTCTGACAAGATGATATTTGAGCGCTTACAAAAAGAATTTGAAGCTGCTAGAGCATCTCAGAATCAAGGTAATATTCTACTGTTCCATTTTCCGAGATTGTCTTTACTAACTTTCACTTGTTAATTTGGCATGGTATCAGATAAATAAGAGCAGTTAGACAGGATTAGGAAGTTAAGTGGCTTCTCACCCTCTTTTTGGTTTGTTGCGCAGAAACATATTTGGATGGTGAACAATGGAATGATGGACTTTTAGCAACAATAAGAGAGCGGGTATGACATCAAATCATGAAATTTTATTTTGATTTCTTTTTCCATGTTTCACATTTATTTTAGAAAATTTACTAATTGAGAAAAGAATGATTGACGCCCAAAGTTAGTCTATGCATATCCAATACATTGATTAATGTTGTAGATGATTAATGCTTATTGTACTGTCCTCCTTCATCAGGTTCATATGGAGGCAGAGAGAAAAGCCATGCCTGAGGATGCCGATATGTTGCCACTGGAAAAAATCACCTATAAAGTTGGAAATAAGGTATGTTTTCCATGTCTATGCAGTTTTATGGTTCTTTCGAATTCCAAGGTGTATGTGGGATTTGGGAATGTGAGAACTGTTGACTGAAAGGGTTCTTAAGAACTTTTCCTGGGCAAGTTCAGAGGGAACAATTCGATGTGAGAGGCCATTAGATTTAAGGCTTCTCTTTGGAGTTTAGTTTCCAACTTTTTCTCAAGCTGGTTTATTTATTTTTAAATTAATTCCTGCAAGAGGAGTTTTTTTTATAATCCTTGTGATTTTGTGGGTAGATACCTTGTCTCCGGTTATATTTTACTCCTTTGAGTTATTAATGAAAGTGTTTTCCTTTGTAAAACAATTATTTACTAAACGCGAATAGCTGTTCTAGATGATAGCATGCCATTGATGTACGGAAGAAATTATTTTCAGACAGTGCATTTAAAGTTGAATATGAGCATGGTTCTGGTTGAACAGGTTATTTGCTGCTTGGAAGGAGCGAGGATTGGCATACAATATGAGACATCTTTCGCAGGTAATTTGATTCTTTCACGTGATTTTCTTTGATATTTAACTCGTGAAACAAAATAAAAATTTGTAATAGCCATTGGTTTTCATCCATGCTATGATTCTTTCAGCGAAAGAAAAAGAAAATGAATGTTGTGTATGAGTCTGATACTTGTATTAATTCTGAAATATGATGACATGGTTATTTTAGACCCCATGATCAGTAAGATTTTACTTAATCAACACAAGTATGCGCATGCAGATTTTTGCAGACCTTTGCTTGTTTAAGTTGAATTAGTAGAACTCCAATTATAATTGAAAGCTACTGCATACGTCAATTTTCTGGGGTATAATCTTGACTCAGAATCTTGATATGGGTTGAAAAAATGCTCATATTTAGTGTCCTGAATTCCACAGTTCAGAGGGTTATTTATTCCAACAAATTTGTGTTTATATTAAACATGAGAGCTACCAACACACAGAGTTCCCTCTCAAAAACACAGTAGAACAATCCACATAATTGATAGTCCTGATAGTGTTGCTTTTTTTCCCTCCATTCTCCTGGTTTGCTCTCCTCTCTAGCGGGATGTAGATAGAGGGGGAGAGAGAGTGAGTGATATGGAGAGAGTCAGATAGAGAGTAAGATGAGGGGAGAGAGGCAAAAAGAGAGTGAGAATGTGAGATGGAGTGAACTAAGAGATGGAGAGGTAGGAAAAATGGAAGAGAGAGGGAGACATATATTAGAAGTTTGAGGGGGTGAAAGCCTTACAGCAATCATATTATTATATATAAACTAATTAATTACTGAAGCATTGAGGCGCTGTGCTTCAGCACTTCATCAAGTGTGTTCCATATAAAAGGGTCCTTGCCTATTCAAGGGGAGGCACCCTGGAGGCTTAGATGAAAAGTGGTTCTCGATGAGAGCTTTTGTGGGCGACTTTCATTTTTGTATGTTGTTTAGAAACTTGAACCTAATGCTACAGTAAATATTGTGGTTCATATTTTGCGTGTGCTCCTCTAACTTCATGCTTTCATGTAGCTACGAAACCTGAATTTTATGTGAGCGAGTATATGTATCACGCGTGCTAGTATGTGGGCTTGAATTGCACAGAACTCCTATTACATTGTTTTCCTTGTTGTAGGGAAATTTGAATTTGATGTATGGTAAATATTTTGACCATTGAACTGCTTAATGCTATTGATTTTTACTTTGGTGGTATGATCATTCATTATGTTATTCACGATAGTAAAATGATCTAGTTGAATAATTTGCAGGTGAGCCCTGTGAACTTTACCATTGCGTGCTTGAAAGCAAGTCATTTCTTGAAAAGATGACTGTCCTAGAACACACCATTCCATTCTTTCTGCCAGTACGAGAATCTGAGAACGATCTTCTCTCCTCTAATGCAATGGTAGAGTTGGTTGCCTGGATTTGCTTTGATGATTTGAGACTAGTGCAAATAAATTGATTTTGACACGTCATCTTTGATGGTTTGATCCTGCAGAAATTTATTGATTATATTGGAGAACTTTTGCAGGCCTATGTGGATAGAAGGGAACAGGTAAGAAATAAGAAAATTATCTTTCCACAATGACTTGAGATTTTTAAACTTAGCATACTGTTGCCTACGCATAGCAGACTCCTGTGCATGTTCATGTGAAGATAGCGTTAAAGTAGAATTATTATCCCAGTAATTGGTTTACCATTTAGTATGAGAAGGTCAAAATCATCACACATGAACAAACATTACTAGAAAAATTAGAATTTTCTAGGATGCTTTTAACCTTTCTTAAGAGTTCTTAATTGTATAGCTATGAAAGAAAAAAAGAAAAAGCTTGAATGGAAGCAAGCTTTCCAGCTTGCCACTAATTGAAAAAGAAAATCTAAATCTTGGGGCTTCTTCGACTTGAATTTGTTCTTTGGTCTGGTACTATTATTATCATTATTTGATGAGCATTTGGTGATGAATAAAATTTAAAAAAAAAATGGAGGAAAAAACACGCCTCACTTGTGCAAACACTTACAAAAGACACCGCCACCAATGGTTTTTATACCACTATCAATCATTTTGCAAAATTCAAAGTTCATGTCTACTGAGTTCGAGATTGATACCTCCTGAAGCACCTTTAACCGGCAGGACCAGAATTGAGATAGAAACTTGGGAAGTTACTGGAAAAGATGATGAATTTGTAGAATGGGGGAACTATCCTTGTGTTTTCTTGTGGTCTCTGGTTTTCAGTTTTGTTCTTGCTTGAAATTATGTTTTAGTGTAGGTTGCATCGTCTGTACTCACAAGGAGAAGTTTTACATTTGTGTTCATAAATCTTTCAGGTTCGGCTTATCAAGGAGTTGTATGGAAACCAGATCAGAGAGTTGTATCATAGCCTTCCATTCCATATGATTGAATTTGTGCTCGATGATTCTGACTGGTTAGTGCACTAAACTCAGTTTGATAGATTGAGTTTAACTCTCTTTATCTTTGGCTATACACCATAAACCGTTTTCCTATAAATGTTTTAAAGAAAATGTAAACTGAAATTCTCAATACATTTACTTAGGCTCTGAGGCTCTGATAGTTAAATTTACGAAAAGGAGATAAACTCCATGGAATTACAAGGACTTTTTCCAATTAGTTAATGGGGAAGTGAGATTAAGGAAAAAAAACATGAGACAATTTACACCAATCTACTATGTTTTCTCAACAGTTTCTTACTATGATTTTTATTTTTAAAAAAACGTTGGTATTCTTAGTCAAATTCAAAAGATGAGAATATATTTTCTGAAAACTATTTTTTTTTTCAAAATTTTTCTGGGATTGTGATGATGTCTTTTTATATATATATATATATATATAAAAAAGTAAATAACTATGATTATTTTAAAATCGAAGTGGTTATCTAATTGGACCTTAACATCTAGTTTAACTTCAGACTTTTGTGTTTGTTTCCAGCACGGTGACTGTGAGTCTGAGATATGCTGATCTTATCTCTGTGCTGCCGACTAAAATAAGTGTGCTTGCATGGCCAATGCCTCAGATGAAGAAAAACACCGCAAATTCATCATCATCAACCCTGAGCATCAAAAAGGAAAATGGAGGAGGAACTGTAAGTCATCCTATTCCAGCTCGTCTATCATACGCAGAGGATGCTTTACGAACCATGAGCTTACCAGAAGGTTGGAAAATTCTTCATTACACAATTATTTTCAATTTAAATTAGCCACCCAGTTACCGTAACATATTATTGATATATTACTTTCTCATATCAGCATATGCGGAGATTGTGTTGAATTTGCCCCAAGCTATACAACAGATGTTTCCGCCAAAACCTCAATCATCATAATAGTATTTCAGCAACTCCTGGAGATTTGCGGATCTGTACAAAGTTACATCAGAGGTACGATCGTAGATTAGTGGCGTTATCGTGTGACTGATTAGGATTTTATTGGTAGAAACCCAACCCAGCTCTTAGAGTGAGTATTATACATGAATTTGGTAAGGACATGAAAAAATCAAAAATTGAAGTAGTAGGCTCATAACTAAATGATCTTTTTTTGTCGATGGCATCCAGATGTATAGAGCAAAGAATACATTAAGGTTTGCATTATTGTATGTGGTAGTTTTATTGTATTATGTCCAACTTTACTCATCTTAACCTTCCTAAAAGTTTCCATCTCGCTTCACTGCACTTTTCTCGATTCATTTCTCCAGAAGATAAAACAGAATTGAGTCTTTTATAGTTGAGTAAATGAATTAGCAGTTTTATAGAGTGAAATAGTGAAATCAATTTTATGCCAGACATCATAAATCAAATGAGAATCACCCTATTCGGTAACTGGAATGAGGGTATTTAGGGACATTATTACTGAAATTAAGTGAGATTTTTGCCGTAAGAACGGGGGTATTTAGGGCCATTATTACCGAAATTAAATGAGATTTTTGTAGTAACTAGTTTTTCTCTTGAAAATGTTCATAGAAGAATTGCTATCACTCAAAAAGTTAATTATTCAGATAAGTTTCTATCTTGTTATCTATCTGCTTTTTATCAATATTTTCAAAAACCAACTCAAGTTAAAAATATGTTCTTGATTTTGGAGTTTGACTAAGAATTCAAATATTTGTTTAAAGAATGGTAAAAAACCTTAATAAGAAAATTGAGAGAAAACGAACATAAAATCTAAAAATAACAACAAAAAGTGAAATAAAAGAAATAAAAATGAAGGTAAATGTGCCTGTAATTATGGGTAGAGAGAGAATGCAAATACTGACCATGCAACCTCAGTAGCACGGCGTTTGGCTCGCTCTGCGACCTCTGTGAAAGCTCCATATGACTACTTTTCTCATGAAAGAGATTGGAGTTTTCAGGTGGTTGTAGACCATGTAGACTACTCTGTGTTTCTGCCCATTGTGCTTCTCTCTCTTCCTTGCCATAATCCTTTTCAGTTGTGAAGGCAGTCTGTAATGTAATAGCAAAGGACCAACGTCGAGAATTCAAATCTACAGTTCGAATTGTCATAATTGTTCCTCCAGATAAAGCATAAAAATCAGATGCCTGATCATAGTAAGCGAATAATGGTAGAGTTATAAGCTAGACGTAGTATATGAGATGAAGTTCCATTCCTGTGAATTTACCGTCTTTCAGAATGCCTACATTATTCAAACCATGAAGGGAGCGAAGTCAAACTTCCAAATCAAGCCAACCTGCAATATCCAAAGATTGCGGAGAAAGAGTCACATAGAATAGTGTTAGTAATCACGGATCTCCGTAATGGTATGTTATTTTGTCTACTTTGAACATAAGCTCTCATAACTTTGCTTTAGGCTTCCCCAAAAGTTCTCGTACCAATGGAGATATATTCCTTACTTATAAACCCATGATCATTCCTAACGATATTCTAAACGAATAGAATGCTATATATTTTACATTCACTTGCCGCCACTATACAAATGGTAATTGAAAATACATAAATCTGCCGGAGATGGGAAATAATTAAATCACTGTGCAATGATCAAGGCAGAGTATTGATGTCAAAACATAAATAAACCTAAATCGAAAAAAGAACTTGGGAAAAAAAGAGCTGAACGAACCACAAAATTCTTCATTCCGTGGAAATAGCGTTGAATATTGTTGGGAGTGAGTCCCACGTTCACTAATTTAGAGAATGATCATGGATTTATAAGTAAGGAATTATCTACACTGCTATAAGACCTTTTCAGGAAGTCCAAAAGCAAAGCCATGAGAGCTTATGCTCAAAATGGACAATAATATCATACCATGGTAGAGGTCTGTGATTCCGAATAAATCCTGGTATGCTTCTGGCTGCATCAGTAGCATCAACAACAGCCATTCCGATATCTGCCTTATTTAAAGAAGGTGCATCATTAACACCGTCCCCTGTCATTGCACACATATGCTTCCTTTCCTTCAGCCCTTTCACGAATTCACATTTGTGTTCTGCACAACGCAAAAGAGAGCATTCAACAAATTTGATAGAAAATGGTATTAGTCTGTATAATTATATTGGTCGATCAAACTCTTATGATTGAACCAGAAAATTCACTTCTAAAGGTTAAATTTCAAATTCTATCCCTATGGTTTGGAGAAAGTTGGAATTTAACCCGCATCAACATGAATCTATCTATCATGCCAATGCATTCAGTTATAGAAGTAAGAACATGAACGCAAAGTTGAAGCCGGTGGGCTCCTTCCTCCGATGTCAGACCTTCTCGTGTACATTTCAACTGTTCAAACACTTCCTCTATTGGAATACGTTCCTGCAGATAACAACATATGCCACTTAACATTTAATACCATTGAGCCACTCTAATGAATTCAAGCGAACAAAACTTGATAACTAGACTGTTAATAGTGAGGCTGAGAGGTACTTAACAAGGTTGTACTAATAGTTTTCTTTATACTATGAGTCTGATAAATACTTTAAGAATACTGTGAAAACAAGCCATGCACACAGGCCACTGCTTCGTATAAACTTTATCAGTCTTGAAAGCCTTCATTGCTCGTGTTTGGGCTTGCACGTCATCTCGCACAGGCTTTAACCATTTGGCGATAAACATATATAGTTCACAAACTCCTTCTCATCCAGCCCATATTATCATACCGTCCATTGCGAAACCCCATTGAGATATTAACAATATCAATAACAAAAGTCTAAGAGGCTAGCTTCAACTTAGTAGGCCACTGGTCGATTCCAATATCTTTGACTGAGTTCGAGAATTGGACCTTTTGCTAGAAGTACACACACATATATGGTGGGTAATACTTAAAGAGGTAATAAATCTTAAGGCACATTGTTTATCTAACAGAACAAGGAACACTTGAAGAAAGCAACCGCCGTAAAAAGCCCCCTCACACTTCGTGCTTAAAGAAAATGGATTGAAATGCCAAATTTCCTTATCTAGGTTACGTAATAAAAAATATTCCTAAACTACATGTAACAAAGATTTCAAAACTATATTTGAAGCAAAAACCTGTTTGAATATATTATCAAAATTAAGACTTCAAGTGATTATTTCAAGTGGTACAACGGAGACCTAGATTGGAAATGCGATTCAAATATCCATTCTAAGTGATAATATTATAATTTTTAAACGTAAATAATTGACCATTTTGGATAAATATATTTTTTAATGTAAACAAAGAAATACATCACTAAGTCATGTGACAATCAAAACCACCACTTACCCTTACCCGTGAAAAGATAAGATCAACTTTTATTTCTTTCTCTTTTAACTAGTGGCAAGTGAATTTAACATGCGTATTACAACTTTAATTGCGATCCTTAACGAGTTAAGACATGTATAATTGACTAAGAAGTTAAATTTACCATCCTTTAAAAATGGGACAAAAAAATCCTCCACGTAGGAAAACATTCTAAAAGTTTTCAAGTTCAGATTAGAAAAAAAAAAACACAAGAGTTTGAAGTAAACTACTTTAAAAAAAAATGAAAGAACAATAAATCATGAAAATCGCTATAGGTTTCACATGAGAAGTCCTGAATCCAAATTTGTTCTCTTAGTCACATTCTATAAAACGAATACTAAGCCTTTCACATTAAGAATTATAAAAGCAATAGCAACAAAAAAGATAACCATATTATGCCATATTTTATGAAATTCAGGCATGCCAAAAACACACCAGCATGAATATAGTTAAAGTGACATGGTCCATTTAGAGTTGAAATCTCTCGTCTACTGACAAAAAAAAAACATATAGAAGCCTAGAGGGCTGTTCATGGCTGCCACGTGTCCACAATAAACTGGCCCCTCCGTCAAAACATTCGGATACTTTAAACAGTTTCTATTACACCCGCCATACCGCCGGCGAAATTACGGCGTACGAAGATCCGACGTGTCAAAGGGAATTCCGATTTCTCTGTTCTATGTTTCTTTTCCAAAAATCAAACTCCAAATTTTTTTGACAATGTTGCTAGGGTTCTACGGAATTGCAGAAAAGGGTTTGACCTTCATTGAGGAATATATTTAATTTTTAATACAAAAGTAAAATTCTTCTAGATTTCTTTTAATTCAACAATATTTATGATTTATAATACATCAGAAAACAATATTCTGACTATTCCTGCTTTAAAAAGTAATGGTACGTACCAATAAGGAAGAACATGGAAACAAAACAATCACTTGTTTAAATTTATTCCATATACTATTTATCTTTTTCCTAGATAACAAAAATAATATTTTAGCTCTCATCTTATAATCGTTTAGTTTAGTTTTTTTTTTTTTTTTTTTTTATTTTTTAATTTGAGTTCGTTTCTTTTCTAAAAAAAACTAAATATTTGAATCATTAGCCAATTTTAAAAATAAAAACAAGTTATGTCTTCAAAAACGGAGTAAATTCTTCGAAAATACTCTTAAAATGAGATAAGAGGACAAAAGATCAATAAATAAATAAATATAAATACGTAATTTTAAAAAATAAAAAAGTTAGGGAGATAGTTAAAAGAGAAGTTAACAAAATATTCAAAATCTGTAAAATGACTCGAGAAATTAAAAATAATTGCAGTCTGCACCCTACTTTGTGAAAAATGTCGTTCTCCGCCTAATGTTTAGCGCCAAATTTTCAGTCGTATAAAGAAAGCAACCGATCCAGTTAAGAGAGTTATTACAAACAAACATCGGAATCGATAATTCAACTCCGCTGCAACGAGAATACAACTATCGATCGAATCAACGAAAGCAAGTAATCGCACAGACAAATCACAATCAACTAGTAAACCTTCTCCGCCAGTTAAACAACAACATGCACAGAGAGAATAATCCGAACTCATTCGCCGGCGATTCTAACTAATTTTCTCGGCAGCCAAACACAAAGCGCAGAAAAAATAGCAGGCGATCGCAATGAAGAAACTAGAAGAAAAAAAATTTAGCGTTTATAATACGTACCAGATCAACGGCCTCGCTTTTAATCTCCTCAAGAGTGATGGCATTATCACCGCCCATTCTCGAAGTGCAAGCTGCTCGATGGCAACGCGAGAGCTCGAGATAGGAAATGAAGAATTAGAAGTCCGATGAGGAATGTATATTTAGAAATACGAGAAGTCCACGAGATTCATGGAAGAATCGTCACGATCGCCATTGGAGAAGAGGAAAGAAAAAGGAAGAGGAGGACGATACGGAAAG